TTAGAAGGAATGGTCTGCATCTAGCCATTGCTGGAGCACTGGTGACTTTGAGCTGGTCACCACATGGTCCCGGCTGCTCCCAGGGAGAAAGAGGAGGCTTTCTACTCCTGCATGGAAAACCCACAGGGACAGTTATTCCCTGTCCCATAATCAGTTCTCTGTGAGTATAGGGTTGCTATGAGTCGGCATTGACTTGATGGCAGTGAATGTGTTTGTTTGTTTGTGAGTCAGAATCAATTGGATGGCAGTAGTTTGGAGTTTGAGTCAATTCACATACCATCCAACATAAGGAGTTCAAATTTACTGAACCTGATTAATTTTTGTTTGGTTGGTTTTTAAAATAATTTTATTGGGGGTTCGTCCATACATCCAACCATTGTGTCAAGCACATTTGTACATTGTTGCCTTCATCATTCTCAAAACATTTGCTTTCGATTTGAGCCCTTGGTATGAGATCCTCAACTTTCCCTCACCCTCCCTCTCTCACAAACCCTTAATGATTTATAAATTATTATTATTTTATTATGTCTTACACTGTCCGATGTCTCCCTTCACCCACTTTTCTATTGTCCGTCTCCCAGGGAGGGGGCTATATGTAGATCATTGTGATCTGGTTCCCCCTTTCTCCCCAACCTTCCCCTTAGTCACCTGGTATCGCTACTCTCATTATTGGTCCTGAGGATTTATCTGTCCTGGATTCCCTGTGTTTCCAGCTCTGATCTGTCCCAGTGTACATCCTCTGGTCTAGCCGGATTTGCAAGGTAGAATTGGGATCATGATGGGGTGGGTGGGCGGGAAGCCTTAAAGTTGTATGTTTCATTGGTGCTATAGTGCACCCTGACTGGCTGGTCTCCTCCACGCGCGACCTTTCTGTAAGGGGATGTCCAGTTACCTACAGATGAGCTTTAGGTCTCCACTCTGCACTCCCCCTCACTCATAATGATATGATTTCATTGAACCTGATTAATTTTCTATCCAACAAGTATCTTCTGAATGCATGCTCTATGGCAGGCATTACTCTATATAAAGTCCTTGCTCAATACAAAGCTTACATACATTCTGATATACGAGACAAATGAAAAGCAAATATATATACTCTATGTCATATGTTAAGTCCTTTAAAAGAAAGAAACAAAGTAAGCGCTCAGCAGAGAGAGAGAGAGAGAGAGAGAGATGCGATTTTTGATGGGATAGTCAGGGAAAGTTTTTGTGAACGTGGCTTTTCAGAGTCTTTAGTGGAGAGAGAGAAGAAGCCATGTGGGAGAAACGCATCCAGGCAGTAGGCACAGCACAGGTGAAGGGAATGAGGCAGGAACAAGTTGATGGGCTGGAGGAACAACAAAGACAGAGATCAGTAGGCTTGGCATAAAGTGAATGGAAACATAGTCTCATAAAGCGGAGCACAGCTTATGTAAGGCT